ACTTTTATGAATAGGCTTGGCAATCTCTGAATCATTACCAGCATGAAATTGTAGGGTGGTCTGAGTAGGCAGATCTATTGGATGAAAGGCCCAGAGGCATGCTCTGTTAGACTTTCCCCTTCCCACTTCGCAGGCAGGGTACGGCTCACTCCCCTGCATCACCCAGTGATGATATTAATTGATTCTGGGAGAGCTACATCTCTTCACTGCTCTGGTGGTTCAGTGCACCCTTTCCAGTGAAGCAGAGTTGAGAGCTGTCTTGATGCCTGATAAGAAAGAGTATATATTCCCCTTGTGTATGTGGCTCTCCCACCACTGAGGTTGAAGCTGTACAAGTTGATGTGATTGGTGATTAATGGTAGTTAAAAGAGGGCAAGTAATACCAATGAGTAGTGCCACAGTGTAGATTCAAGGAGGGGGACATTTGAGGAGGGATTTCCTGATACTAACTACCTCACTGAGTGTAACTAAAGGTTGAGTGTGGATATGTCTTTAAAAAAGGATCCAGATGTTATCCGCAGCCCAGAATACTTCCCACCATCACTGACTTCTTTGAAGAACAGAGGGCGGATTTTTATTGCTGTGTCTGATGGCCTTTGTTGCCACCAAACACTTTAGTAGGGTGCTGGTATTCAAGGCAAGTAGGTAGATGGAGAACCATTGTACATGCTACAGTTCCTTATTGAATTGACTGCAGGTAACAAGTATAGATGGAGTCCAAATCTCTATCTTCATTACTGTTATAATCCTGACCTGATTTAACTGAAAATTTTTATAAAGGGGGATTCTTCACTAGCCGTCTGCAAAGTTATCACATGATCTATCGTAAAATTTACATCACTTCTCACTGTGAGGTGGGGGCATTGGACTGGGTGTCATTCTCCTGGTCCTTTTCCACAGAGGGAGGAGTCCCAGACTCTGAAAGGAATAAAAATGAAGACCTCGATGAAGCTTTGAGTCACCCACTCCATAGCAGACTGCCCAGCACAGAGACCACCCCTACTGTTAACATTTCTAAGCCAATGCCTTGATGTTAGGTCCAGAAACCTTATCACTTCACCCTCTGTAGTCCAGGGATATGGGACTGCAGGATGAAGTGGTTGGGGATGAAGGCTTTGTTTTAAAGCTGAGTGACTCAGATCAGGAGAAGGAGTCCCAGCCTCTCTTCCAGAATCAATGAAAGACCCCTATGCAAGTACTATCAGAATTCTGCACTCCCACAAAACATGGGCCACCCCCTCACTTCTAAGAGCTGCACCCCTGCTCTCAGCATTAGGTCCCATACGGGGGTGGCTAGAATTGGCTTCCCAACTCTGACTCTAACTTCTCAGATGAATGAAGGCCTTACGCTTTGAGAAGGGTAGCCTCAAATCAGCAGAAAAGAGAGTTCCAGAGATTTCCAGGCCCTGTCAGGAGTTAAGTTAAAGATCTTAAGTGAAATCTGAGGACACTCTTTATACAAGAAGAGAGACAGGCCAACAGAATCCCAGCCCTGTGTAAGCCCCGGGATGCCCTGGACGGGGATCCTCTGATGTAATGCCCTTTGAATTCCCAGAATTCCGGGAGGTGACAGCATTGAACCACGCTTTGGAATCAGACCAGTAGGGAGCGGGGTTCCATGTCTTCCAATAGTGATGGTGAAGACCCTAATATTTGAGGCAACCATCCACACCAGATCAGAAGGACCCCACAGCCTCCAGGCTCCTGCTGTCAGGCCTGAGAAGCCCATGAAGGGAGTGGCCAGATGTAACATTCTGAGTTCTACCTCTGGAGTTTTAGGGAAGTTAAAAAATTGGCGCCAGAGGGAGGTGTTAAATCAGCAGAGGGAGGAGTCCCAGGCCCTGCCAGGAGGTGAGATAAAGACCCTTTGTGAGGTTTTAGGGTAATAGCCATTCCCTTGCTGTTAGTAGTAGCAGACCTTGGGCAAAAAAACCTCTTATATAGCACCCTCTGAATTACTCCTTTGGAAATTCAAGAAGAGGACAACATTGGATCAAGGTTACGGCCTCAGGCCAGCAGATGGAAGAGTCCCAGGCCCCAAAAGAAGTAAAAGTGAGGAAACTGAGTGATATCAGAGGAAACCACCCACCAGAAAAGAGAGGGGTTCATAACAGAGCCTGCCCCTGCTCTCAGCCCAGGGAGGCCCCAGGTGGGAGTGGCTATTGTGACATATTCTGACTTCCATTACTGCTTTCTCAAAGAAGTGAAGAGGTTTAGGTTGTTATAGGAGCTATTTCCAAGCCTTGCCAAAAGGGAATATATGTATCTTGAGTGAAGTTTGAAGTAGACTTCCACTCCAAAAGACTGGGACCCCATGGATTCATGACAGGTCCAGGACAGGGCCTGATGAAGAACCATCTGAATTCTGGTGAGAATTCAGGGAAGGGAGGGCATTAGACTTGAGTCTCAGCTTCTTGTCAGCAGAGGAGGAGTCCCAAGCCCTAAAAAGAGGAAAAAGAATCCTGAGTTCTAAAGGAACCATCCACTCCAGATCAAAAGGGGACAGCACAGGGTCCCACCTATGCTGTCAACCCTGAGAGACTGTGGGGTAGATATGTTAGGCTGGGGTCTCTCTCACTTTCTCCTTTTGGAACTACAGATGTGAAGACCTTGCTCTGAGGAGATAGGTCTCAGGCCATCACAGGGTAAAGTCCCAGGCCCTAGCAGAAGCCAAGGTGAAAACCCTAAGTGAAGAATGAGAACACCAAGGATCCGAGAATATAGGAGGTCCTTCAGAGCTTTTCTATTGTAGTCATCCTGGATGTCCTCAGGCGGGTGTGGTCAGATGAATTTCTCTTTCACTTCCTCCACCAGGGTAGCACGGAAGTGAGGGGACTGAAATGAGGGGTCAGTAAAGGGATCCCAGAATTTGCCAGAAATCAAGAGGACAGTTCTGAATGTGAACTAAGAAGAGTCCCTACCCAAGAACAAAGGAGCCTCCATAAAGCCTGGACCTGCCAGGCCTTGCTGTCACCACCCAGTAAAACCCAGGCAGATCTGGCAGGTAGCAACCTAAAACACACCCTAGTTATTTCACAGAGTACTCGGGGCAGGCAAATCAAAGAATAGGGGCCTGTTTTTCCTTGAGTAATGCACCAAGAAAACTTGCAGAGGTGGCCATCAATAAAGCTAAAGTTGTATCTCTGCTGAATGGGAACACACCAGCTCATCTTCTCACCTCCAGGTCACAGGATCACCTGCTCTTTTGGCTGCTGCACCTGAAGACAGTCATCATGCCTCGAGGTCAGAAGAGTAAACTCCGTGCCAGGGCAAAACGCTGTCAGGCCCGAGGAGGGCTGGAAGATCTGCTAAGTGCTCTGGCCATTTTAGAAGAGGAGGAAGAACATCCCCTCTCCTCTTCTGTTTGTTTGAAGGATGTTTCCCAGCATTCACTTGATGGGACATCCAACAATCCCCATGGACTTTCGGGAGTCCCATCCACCAGTGCATCTGCTACGGCTGTTTCACACACAAGACATACCGAAGGTTTCAACAACCAAACGGAAGAAAGACCAAGATGCACACAAGATCCAGAAGCCACTGATAACTTTCCCAGAGGCCTTCTAGGTGAGAAAGTAGTTATGTTGGTGCATTACTTGCTGTTCAAGTACCAAATGAAAGAGCCCATTACAAAGGCAGATATGCTGAGAAATGTAACCCAAATGTCCAAGAGCCAATTCCCTGTAATTCTGAGCAGAGCTTCTGAGCACCTAGAGCTGATCTTTGGTCTTGACCTGAAGGAAGTGGAGCCTAATAAGCACATCTATGTTCTTGTCAACAAACTAGATCCGGGCTGTGATGTAGGGCTCAGCGATGAGCCAAGCGTGCCCAAGACTGGCCTGCTGATGACTGTCCTGGGTATTATCTTCACAAAGGGTAATTGCGCCACTGAGGAGCAAGTCTGGAAAGTGCTTAATATGATGGGATTACATGACGGAATTGAGCACATCTTTTTTGGGGAGCCCAGGAAGCTCCTAACCAAAGATTTGGTGAAAGAAAATTACCTGGAGTACCAGCAAGTGCCCAATAGTGATCCTCCATGCTATCAATTCCTATGGGGCCCAAGAGCCCATGCAGAAACCAGCAAGATGAAAGTTCTTGAGTTTTTGGCCAAGATAAATAATGCAGTTCCCAGTGACTTCTCACCCTGGTATACAGAGGCTTTGCAAGATGAAGAAGAGAGAGCCAGAGCCAGAGTTGCAGCCAAGGCTCGCATTACTGCCATGGCCCATGCACGTTCCAAGGTTAAGTCCAGCAACCCCTCCCAACTGCAGTAAAGTCTGAGGCAGATTCTTTACTTTGTGTTTGAAAAGAAATCCACATTCTGAGCTATGGGTGGACAGTGTGGGGCTGGAGACAGCACAGTGAATAATATGTTTGTGCTCATATTCTATGTGGTGACTTGGAATTTTTTTAAGATGTTCCTTTAATAGATGGTTAAAGTATCATCAGTATCTAAGTTTATGAATGACATTGCTACATTTTTCTGTATGTGAGATTAAGAGTAAGTGATTTATTGTTTTATAAACCTAATTGGGAAACTCTTCATTTATTTAGGGATTGAAACACAATAGCATGATAGTAAATTAGGCATTTTCTAATTCAATGTGAAATAATTTAGGAGTGTAATAAATGGGATCAAGGAATAGAGAAAAGAGTAAAGGATGGCTAATTATTGCATTCCCTATTGACTTTTATTCTGTTATGTAAAATTAAAATATACATGCCAGGATAGGCTTACATTATTCAAGAATATATAATTAATTACATTATAATAAATTAGACCTTGTGCACATTGGCTCATTTATTCCTCAAACATTAATTGAGTATCTGCTCTTTGGAAGACCTTGTGCTAGGATGTCAGGATAAGGAAGATCTACCTGTGCCCATTGGGTTTTAGAATCTAGGAGTAGATATTATATAAGGAATATGGTGAGATAACCACTAAGACCTAAAGGACAAGTTAAAGAAAGTGAGAATGTAGGGGGAGGGTTATCTAGGTGACAGCATCAAATATAAATGCCTTAAGGCAAGTGGGATTGGAGGCTTGGAAAATTGAAAGTCTTTCAGTGTAAATCAGTTTGTGTGTGTGTGTGTGTGTGTGTGTGTGTGTGTGTGTTTCTCACTCTTGTCACCCAGGCTGGAGTGCAGTGGTGGGATCACAACTCATTGCAGCCTCAACTTCCTGGGCTCAGGTGATTCTCCTCCCTCAGCCTCCTGAGCAGCTGAGACTACAGATGCATGCCACCATGCCTGGTTAATTTTTCTATTTTTAGTAGAGATAGGTTTCGCCATGTTGCCCATGCTGTTCTCCAACTCCTGGACTCAAGTAACTGCCTGCCTCAGCCTTTCAAAGCGCTGGGATTACAGGTGTGAGCCACTGTGCTTGGTTGGTCAGGTTAGGATCTGAGAGTGGTGAGCACTGGCTGTTTTCTCTGAAGACATGTCCAGGGTTGAAAGTCTAAGGTCTGGAATGGACAAGCAGTTATAGCACTTGCTTGGGCTCGTGGATAAACCGGAAGGAAATCTCCATCTGGGACAGGAATGAAGGATTTCCTGTGCTCCCCTAACTCCAGTGCAGTTGAACACAGACCACAAACCATGTGTTCTGTGTACAGCATCTCGAGCAAGTTTCTGAGAAATAAGAGTAATACTGTTTTAACATGGGATGCTCAGAAGCCACTTTACTGACACTCTTTGCTCTGGCCTGGGAAAGACAGAGCCTGTTATTTTATTTTGTGTTGCTATAATAGACTGCCAGAGACTGGGTTACTTTTAAGGAAAATAATTTTTTTCACAGTAGTGGAGGCTGGAAAGTCCAAGATTGAGGTGTTTGGTGGCACCTAGGGAGGGATGTCTTGCTGGGCCATCCCATGGCAGAAAGTGAGGCAGTGAGAAAGAGAAAGCAAAAGAAAAAGGGATCAAATATACCTTTTTGAAACAAACCCACTCTTGTGATAAAGGTATTAATCCATTTATAAGGGAACAGTTCTCATGGCCTAATTACTTCTCATCAGGCCCTACCTCACAATACTGTTGGATTGGGGATTAAATGTCTACCACTTGTCTTTCCGGGAGACACATTCAAATCACGGCAGAGTCCATTCTATTAATAAGGTATTTATACTAGGTTATCTTGAGTGTAATTTGGCAAACTCAAAGCAAGGGATAGGTGTTTTGATGGGAATGAATGAGGAAGTCCTTGACATTTTCTAGGAGCATTTAGCTGAGCTGCATCTAGCTGGGGAAGATTCTTCCAACACATAATATAAAAAATGTATATCCTCAAAAAGATTCTTATCAATTAAGTAACTTTCTTTTGCTAAGAAGCATTTTGATTGATTTGGTTTTCCATGTCCTAGAGGGTTGCATATTCTCTTAACATCTCCAGGATGAAAAGTAAATTAAAAATTTCCAAGAGGGAAGGTTGGTAGTGTTTGCAATCTAAAATATAATAGTAAAATCTGTTAGTTATCAAAAACCCAGTACACACTAACACTGTGTCAGCTTCCCTACACAAGTATCTTACATTCTAAAAGTCAGACTTCACAAGGCATACATGCGCCAAAGAACAAAATAACTGCATCAAGCCCACTTCACAAAGAACTTGAGGCTCATAGAAATTTGCAGCTTTCGAGTTCACATATAAGTGACAGGGCTGAGATGAGACCTCCTAGTCTGAATTCCTCTACGGCCCACACTCCACACTCTTCCACTCCTCTCAGCCTGAAGCTGATCTTGGGTCTATCAATTCATTTATCTTCTCACTACTCCGCAATGTCTCTCAGACAAAGAAAAGAAAGACCCTGTGGTCAAAACACTAAAAGCACGCCCTAAAAAGGAAGGTGAGAATGAGAAGGAGACATAATCTGTGACTGTCTGTGGGTTCATTGGCCTGGTGTCCTCCCACCTTTAGCCCCAGATTCTTCTGGAGCTGAGTCTACCCTGGTCCCTTCACATGGGTTCGGTCTAGCACTTTCCTACATTATCCTGCCCTTCCCCTGAGTCTTCTCCAGTGTGTCCTCCTGTCCAAACTGGAACTGACCCGCTGGCCAGCGGGTGTCCTTCTCTGGAGCCTGCACTTGCTCCCAGAGGAACAGACAGCCCAGACTTGCCTACCTTTTCCTGGACATAGAAGCTTCCAACTGCCTAGGAGTCCCAGTCCTCACCTTGGATTCCCGTAACAGCAACAGCCTCTTCTGTGTAATTGTTCACTTCAAATAGTAAAGCTTAGATACCGCTTCATCTCTAGGGGCCTCCACCACACTCAAAGTGTTTTCAAATCTGCTAGTGAGGAGAGTCTGTTTTGGCACAGAGTTGACTGATATTTTATCCTTAAGCAGAGATATAATCCTAAAGTAGAGAAGAGGTTTTAGAAAACAGGTGAGATTGGAGAGGGGTTTTAATCAGGGGACTTTTTGAATGTTGCTACTGAACCTATACACTGATGAATGAGCCCAACTGAGCACCAAAATTCAAAGCTTCCCTCCTAGGTGTTAAATGAGGAAAGACGGAAATCACTGTGTAGCAAACATCTGAGGAGGGTGAATTCTTATAAATTCTGTAGTCTTTCCAGAAAGTTGTAGTAGTTTTCTGTGGTAGCTGTAACAAATTACCACAAATTTAGTGGTTTACAGCAGCATGCATTTATTATCTTTGTAGGGTTTATTGTCTACATTTCTGTATGTGTGAAGGATGGAGCTGTTCTGCTAGATTCTGTACTCAGATTTTCACAAGGCTCAAATCAAGCTTTCAACTGGCAGTCTTCTTATAAGGCTCTGAGAAGATTCTTCTTCTGAACTCATTCAGGTTGTTGACAAAATCTAGTTCTTTGTGGTAATAAGACTGAAGTCTTGTTTCCTAGCTGTCAGCTGGAGCTGGCAGGCCTCTCTCTAGTCCTTGAATGTAGGCTCATATATTTTGAGTCAACAGTTGTAGGCTGAATTCTTCTCACACTGTAATCTCTCTAACTTCCTCCTCTGCTGCATCTCTCTTATGCCTCTGGCCAGAGAAAGTTCTCTGTTTGTAAATTCTCATGTCATGATACTGGACTTACCTGAATAATCTGATGTAATATTTTTATTTTAAGTTTAGTTACATAACCTTTAATGCTCTGCGAAGTGCTTTTGGTCATATAACAAAGCGTATTCATTTTTCAGGGATAAGGGTATAAGCATCTTTGTGAAGCAATCATTCAGCCTACTATTGATGTAGAAAATGTGTCTTTGGCAGACATACCAGCTTTGATAAGAAAAGAATAAATTCACCATAATTCTCCTGACTTTTGTTTTTATTTGCCCCAGGGGAAAATCCTACTTTTCAGTGTGTGTAAAGACACAGTGTACAAGTGTTTATGTGTGTTAATCAGGTGGTAGCAGAGACTCCCATGTTATGATTTAGACCATGCACTAAAAGGAAGAATACCATCCTCCATATTTTCAGAGTATTGCAAAGGTCAGTAGAGAAAGGTACTATTTAGTGATGAGAGACAAAGGATCATCCTTGCTGAGATTTTCATCAGAAAATTTGTGTAATCCTACATTTGAAAACAACTGTCACACAGTACACACTAGAAAAATTTCCCAAATTGCAAGGCAATTTTGGCCTTCTCAGAAACTTCTCCAAGAATAGAAATTGTTGTCAAAACAAAGTTTTATATTTGCTTTTTATTGAGCGCCTAATAGGTAATAGATTGTGGGAGAGATGGCAAGTTTCCATCCACTTGCTTTGCTGCGCTTCCCGGGCATATAGGGAGACTATATCCCACAGTCCATTTGTTGTTAGAAAGGGCCACTGAAATATGAACAGAAGCTATGCTTGTCATTTTCAGGCCAAGGCATTTGAGAATCAGTATGTTAGTTCTATGCGTTCTGGTCTATTCAGCAGCAAACATGGAGCTGTCATAATGAGATGTGGCACCCTATGATAGAAGCAGCCTGGATCCCTGGGTCCCCTGTCAGCGAAGACTCCCGTTAACTCACATCAAATTTTATGTGCGCGAAAAATAAACTTTTTTTTGTGCTAAGACTTTAGGATTTCAGCATTCTTCCATTATTTCCACTAGCAGTGACTATCTGAATATGGCACAGCTATCATTTCTGTGATTAGTTTTACTCAAATATATTAATTACTCAAATATTCTTGATGCTTAAGAAAATTCTAACACTATGGATAAATCACAATTCTGCTCCAGTGTTCGGTTTCTCCAAAATTTATTCCCTACCAGAAGTAACCACCATTAAAAACCTCGTATTTTTATTTTTATGTATATTCTAGGCATTTTTCTTACATACATGTGGTAGGAAAATATACTGTGAGCTTTTAACTTATATGTATACTGATGTACATTTTGTTGTACCTGTTGCATTTGTCACTAAATAAAATGGATTCAGGAACTTTCCACGAGAGCACATATACATTCCCCTCACTGTTTACTACCAATAATTTCAAAGGACGTATGTGTCATAATTAATTTAATAATTCTTCTACTAATGGATGCACAAGATGTTTTCCATTTATTGCTATGACTAATAAGACTGAAATAAACATTACTGAACATGAAT